AACTCCAAACCTTGTGTTATTCAATTTATATGAAATATCCAGAAGAGGCAAATCCACAGAGATAGAAAACGGACTTGTGAGGGGCGCCTGGGTGGCTCAGTTGTTAAGTGTCTGCCTTCAGCTCAGGTCACGGTCCCAGGATCCTGGGATCGAGCCCCGCATGGGGCTCCCTCCTCAGCAGGAAGCCTGCTTCTCCCTCTCCCCATCCCCCTGTTTGTGTTCCCTCTCTCGCCGTGCCTCTCTCTGTCAAATAAATAAAATCTTAAAAAAAAAAGAAAAGAAAACGGACTTGTGGTTGTCTAGAATTGGGGGTGGGGGTGCAGAAGGAGAAACTGCTAATGGGGACAGGGTTTCTTTTGGGGGTGATGAAAATGTTCTAAAGCTAGTGGTGATTGTTACACCACACTGAATATACTAAAAACCATTGAATTGTATACTTTATATGGGTGAATTTTATGGTATGTGCATTAGATCTCAAAAAAGTATTATTGGGGTGCCTGGGTGGCTTAGTCAGTTAAGCGCCCGGCTCTTGATTTCGGTTCAGTCATGATCTCAGGGTCATGAAACTGAGCCCTGCATCAGGCTCTGTGCTGAGGGCAGAGTCTGCTAGAGATTCTCTCTCCCTCTGCCCCCACCCACCTCTTTCTAAATAAATAAAGTCTTAAAAAAAATAGAATAAAAAGAAGAATGACTATCAGTCCTTGATTGTCCTTGAAGAGGCCACTGGAGATTTCTCTTGATTTAGTGCCAATTCCACTTCTTACCTGAGTACAGATAAATTGGGGATCTGGCTGAAACTTGCCTTTCCCGCCCAGCTTCTACCTCACAGTTGAAGTTTTCTAAATTTCCCAATACCCTGATTCCAGGCCTCAGCAATGGAATCGCCCATTTTCCCTAGTTCCCTGCTGCCATCTTTCCCATAGCAGCCATCCCTGGTTTTCAAGACAGCACTGGGTGTCCCCTGGGGTGTTCCTGTTTCTTATCACCACTCCACTGAATGGTGTCGGTCCGTCTCCCCAATGCTGTGTCCTTCACGACACCGCACGTTCCCTGAGGACAGCTGAGGTGCTAACTGTGCTCACCATTAAATGCCAACACAGTCTTGGTTATCACTGAATGGATGAATGAGTGCCTGAAGTGAATGTATACCTGGAAAAGAGCATGTGTCCGCACGGAGTGGAAAGATGTGGAGGAGGTGGAATAGGGAAGAAGAGGAAGGGAGGATTTGGACGAAAGTTATATTACCATGTACCCCCTTCTTTTTCTGTGACCTCCAGCCACTTTGACCATGTGAGCCTCTTGGATTCTGTAATGGCTTCTCAGTTTCCTCTGAATCAAGCCAAAACCCTAGGCCTTTCAAAGAACACGCAAAACCTTGTTTATCTACTCTTTGGCTCCGAAATACCAAGTGGGGAATCTAGCCAAAGAAAATCGCAATAATAACCACTTAAATACAGAGCTGGGGGAGGGGTCAGCTCTAGAAACGTGTGTGCAGTTACTCATCTGGCATTATTTATAATAGTCAAAAATTGGAAACAGCCTAAATGTCCAGCAGTAGGATAGTGTACATCATGCCATGTCCCAAAGATGAAGTAACGTGCTCCCATTAGAAGAATTTAGTACTTTAAGAAAATACCTGTATTGTATGTTTGGTGAAAGAAGCAGGTTATAAACTAGTGGGTAGGTTACAAACCCATTGCTACTATATATGCTGTGCACAAAAATATTTTAAATACTGAAAAAAACCCCACACTAGAATGATTTCAGGGGTTTTCTCTTGATAGTGGGACTATGGGTGTCTTTCTCATTTCTTTTTTAATGTAACCAGGTGCTCTATGATGAACATACATGATTTTTATAATCAGACACACAAAAAAATTTGCCTAATTCTGTAACTCTTTCAACTGCTCTTTCCTGGGGAAGTCACTCTCCTCCTGCTTTGTTCAGTCAAACCACACCCATCCCCAAATGCTTTTCCTGAGCTACACTATCAGCCTGTAAGGACCAGCACTTTGCCAGGTGCTCCCTCCAAACACTCAGGCAGCTCCTGAAGGCACACGCTTCTGGGAAGCCTTTCCTGATCACCAAGAGGAAAGAAGACTGGCTCATGCCCACTCTGCTCAACACGGTGCTCGCCTTGTCCAAGAAAATCCCCAGCCTCTTTGCTGGTGCTTGACCTCAAGGGACTGTTTCCTGATGTGGCCCAGCAGCTGGTGCAGCCGACTGTGTGTGCGTGTGTGTCTGCACCTGGTGGCCGGGCCAAACACCTAGAAGGAAGTTGAGCTGTAGAGGCCACAGGTCTCATCCCTGTTGATGAGGAAGCTGGGAATGACTCTTCTGTCTGCGTGTCCTGATTTGCCACAGGAAAGACTTCTCTTGGCCATTTAAAAACCACCCAAACAGTCTTTAAACAACTTAAGAAGTGATCAAAGGTGTTTGTACTTAACCTGGACCAGCCACCTTCTTAATGGAGTCAGCCCGACGCTCCGTAATTTTGGGAGGAAGTGAGTGTGAACCAGTAATGCGGATGTAGCTCGAAAGCACTTAGATGTTTTGTGAGTTGATTTGTCCAAGAATACATCCAGCTTATTCCTGAACGGGAATCAAATGAGAAAGACCTTTGAAGGAAAAAGTTAGTGGGTCAGCAAACATTTGAGGGCTTACGGAGTAGCTGACACATCTCAGAGCACTTGTGAAATTCTTTGGCTTTATCAAAGCAATAAACAAATCTGAGTGATTGTTCCTGCAGAACTTCCTGGTCATGTGTTACACCCACATGAAGCAGAACAAGGAAGGCTCGGAGAGGAAGATGCACAGTCTTGTGGTGCCTTCAAGAAAGGCGCATGTGTCTTAGCTCCTGTGGCCTTTTGAGCTAATTACCCTGGCCTGTGTGTGATGAAACACGATGGCGTTAAGGATCAAGATAAATCGGGTATCCTGTCATCAACCTTTGGTGTTTTTGAAACCGAGAAAAAAAGATTTGGTGTGCCAGGCTTCCTCATCAGTCTGGTATCTCACCTGTCATCATAAACAAGGTAAACAAACCACAGGCATATTTTTCTTCCCCGCAGAACTGCACCCTTTCTCGTGAGTGGGTCTGGATACTGTTTGGCAATTGGAATTGAGTAGAATGGGGGTGGGGGAAGCATTTCTTAATTCTACCCTCTTCTCAAATGTCTGAAGCAGAATAATGAGTAGGCGAGTGTCACATTTGTTGCCTCTTTTCCACTCCTGCTCTCTGAATGCAGACCTCAGTCACGTTTTTCTTAAGCCACCGTAGCTGGCATTTCCTCCCAGTTGATCTCATGAAGGCCAGAGGTGCTGGGATCCCCAAAGGAAGCAGAGATGGTCTTCATTCTGCCATTTCCAGGGGTCAGGTTTTGTTTAATGTGATATAGAAGCCAAGGGTGAAATGGAAATGCTGGGACGGGAGAGGGGTTTTGAGGAACTGACAGGGAAAGAGAGAGAGGAGGGATCAGGGATGGCAGGGAGAGGAACCTGAGTGGGGAGTCTTGGGTGCTGTCATTGGGTTCCCTGTGAATTGTCTTCTTCGTCGTCCCAAGAGATCATTAGGAAAATATCCATTTCTTGTTGGTACACTATCAACCAACAACCTGTTTGTTGAAGGAATTCACTCATGCATTCACTCAACAAATATTTATTGAGAGGCTGTCATGCACCAAGCAGTGTTCTAGGTGCTGAGGATACAGTAGTGAACAAAAACATACCCAACACAGAACAACATGGATGAATCTTCAAGCAATTCTGCTAGGAAACGTCAATCCTCAAAGGTTAATACTGGTGATTCCATTTATATAACAGTTTTGAAAGGACAGAATTTTAGAAATGGTGCTTGCCAGGGGCTAGGGATGGGGTGGGAGGGTCATGGTGGGAGAAAGTTGGTATAGTGGTAAAAAAAAATCACCACATGAATCCTTGTGTTGATGTGCCATCCAACATCTTGACTGTGGTGGTGGATATAGGAATTTACACATATGATAAAATTGCATAGAGCTAAACACACATAGTAATGTGTACAAGTAAAACTGGGAGATCTGAAAAAGATCTGTGGATTGAATCAATGTCAGGATCCTCCTGGTTGCAATACTGTACTATAATGCTACTATTGGGAAAACCAGGTAAAGTCCATGCAGGATCTCTTTTGTATTATTTCTTAGAACTGTACATGAATCTACAATTATTCCAATAAAAATGTCCAAAAAAACACCCCCCAAACAAAACCCAACCTCCAGAGCTGATGGAGCCTCCATTTGAGTGGGAGCTAAGTGTGGCTTCATGGTGGCCAGAGGGCAAAAGTCAAGGCCATCCTTGAGAGGTCTGCCCTCTGGGGTACTCCATGCAGTGTCACCAGAGATTCCTTCCTGTCTTCGAGACATGTCATTGAATCCCTACCAATAACCGAATGAAATCCAGATTTAGGGCAGGAGGCAGGTGCGGAATGAGGGTGGACTCCCAGCTCCCCCGACCCTATGACATGGGCATGTTGGAATTATTCAGCCTGCCTTTGGGTTGCTAAATCAGGCACCCACTAGACTACAAAGGTGAGACTCAACTATCCATGGGGGTTCCCAGTGCTCATGTGGGACCCTTCTTGGCTTGTTCCCAGCTTCCACCATTGCCACCACCAACCTCCTTTCATCTCTGTGCAAACACCTATCCCATCCTGGCAGCACATTCATTTTGGGGAATCTACTTTCCTTGGGAAACCACAGATACTGGCATGGCTCACTCCCCCAGTTCTCAGCAAGAACTCCTCATACCAGCCCAGGCCTGGGCCTCAATCCTTGATTCTAGCCCCCTGACCATGGCTAGTTGGGTCAGCGTCCAGCCCCCCACCCCCTCATGCAAAGGGGGATGCCCACACCAATCTGCTGTCCCACTGGGTGTACAATGAGGCATCTAACAGGCTACAAACTGGCCAGCCCCTCTATTTTATTGCCATAGAAGAACTTGAGGAAAGAAGCCATGCAAAAATTAAATAACGTTGGAACAGACTTTGAAGTTTTTATTATTTTAAATTATGCCATGCCTTGCATGGAATGACCACAAAGCAACATGCCTTCCTGATCACACAATTTACTAACAGGGCATGGTGGAGAAAGTTAGAACTCCTAGATGCACAAGCTAGTTTACTGGAAAGAGGGAGAGAAGGGGTGGCAGGAAGGAGCAGCGATAAATATTTACTTGTCTCTTCTCTGAGATGTCAGTAGTTGCCCATTCTAAGAAGGATGATTATGTGACTTAATACAATTTCTGGTCACCATCGTTATAATAAAGGAAAAGGGCTTTCTTAGAAGTGCTTGAGCTAATCAATAAACATTTGATCCACTTTCAAATAAGGTTTTTATAGCCAAAGTAAGTTGAAAGAAAAGATACTGACAAGCACTATTTCCATACCTTTGTCTCAAAGCAGTCACACAAAGAATAAGTGCAAAGCGAAATGAAGGACCTCCCCTTCACTCAGAGAGGGAGCAAGCCTGGAGCCCTGTGGGAGCCTGCCAGTGGCGCCATTCTGCCCAGGGCCCAGGGCCCAGGCCCCAACCCAGTCGTCTCTGAGGGGCCACGAGGCAGTCTGGAGCCCCGTCCCGCTCTTCCTGGGAAGGGGCCTGCTTCCTCTTGTCCCAGTCTGTGTCCAGGATGAATAACCCATGGAGATCCAGGTGCATCTCTACATCAATGGATGCACGAGCCAATTCTGTAAAACTTTTGGCATCCAGAATAAGCAGAAAAGGCAGCCTTTGGGGATCGGTAGAGACGATGGCTGACAGGATAATCCCTTTGGGGAAACAAAAAGAGGCACTTTGTAAAAGTGCGGACTTGAACTTCCTGCAGCTGGAGGGATAGGTTTCTCAGCTATATCTCCCTGTCCTCTTTGAAGTAAGTATGGAATCAAAACAAAAGGAACACGACTTTGAGATTCTGTGGGAGCAGAAGGGAAAGGTCAGGGAAGTAGGAATCAGAAGACCTGGTTCCAGCCCTGCCGGGGCCAGTCCTTTTACCTCTCCGAACCTTAGTCTGTTCATCTGCAGAGTAAAGAGAATCCTCCCTGCCCTCCCAGGGTTGCTCAGAGAATCTCTTGCATGGTGAATAATGAAAGCATTTTGTAAAGTATTGCATGCATTGGAGAAAGGCTATTTGCCTACTATTTAGAAAGTCTGATTACAGAGAATCAGTTTTGATGCTGCATTTAGGCTAATCTATGGCACTTAGCTAAACTCAGACTAGCTGCATTCAACAACATTCGAATGAGCCCAACCCACTTTATGCACAGGCAGCACGTTGGTAGCCTCAGCCTTTCCCTCTGTAAAATGGACATACTCTAAGTACTCACTCTCAAGGGATATAGGATTAAATGAAATAATGCCCCTAAACTTCCAGCAACTACTTGTGATTCCTCCCAAGGTCTCCTGGGTCTCAGGGTGGTTGAGCGTAGTTGGAGTCAGATTGGCTTAGATTAAAATCCTAACTCTGTAGGCACTGGGTGTGTGGCCTTAGGTAAGTTGCATCATTCTCTCCTTTGGTGAAATGAAGACATTGCTACTCCCTGCCCACAAGAGAAAGTAGGGGAAGCCCTGGGCCTGCCCAGTAGGAGGCCAACTTTAGCAGGAGGTGCCACCAACAATCCCCCACCTCAGAGGTGACGGTAATGTGGGGTCCTGGTGTGCCATGCCATGCAGGATCAGTAGGAAGTCACGGCCCAGGCAGAAAACCACTCCTTCTCACCTAAGGGAAACAGTTGGCAGCTCAGGGGAGCAGCCCCACCCATGGTTCTGGTCGCCCTACTTAGCATCCCCAGGAGTACGGGCAGGGATTTCTGGGGCAAAGGCAGAGTCAAGGAGGGAAAGGACCATTTGGTCATATGGAAATCTAGAAAAGAGAGGTGGGCCACAAATACACACTTACAGGTGCTCCGTACAGAAGATACATGCTTAAATAGGGTTAAGAATTCTGTCCCAGCCATTGCAATGAATTTTAAAGTGGAAAAGAAGTGGGCTTTTGTGTAGTAAACAATTTAATGTCCCCCAAAAGGAGATCTGATCTTTGCTCCTGGGAGGTGACTCTAAGCCCTTGTAATGTCCTGCCTCATAAGAGTGTCTTTATTTATCTGGGGCCAGCCTGATGATCTATCCTAGCAAAGTGAATTAGATGTCAGCTTGACCTCCGGAGGGGCTGAAGGCTAAAGGTCAACCACATAACCAACCAACCATGTCTACATGACCAAGCCCCTAAAAAGCTCTGACACAAAGGCTTGGGTGAGCTTCCCTGGTTGGTGACATTCCATGGGTATTAGAGGAGTTGGGGTGGGCTGTGACCTCCTGGGACAACCAGATACTCCGGGAATGGAATTCTCCTGGATTCTGTCCCATGAGTGTGTTTTCTTTCAATCTGCAACCTTTTACTATGATAAAGCATAACCATGAATAGAACAGATTTCAGTGTATTCTGTGAGTCCTGTCGAAACAGAGGGTGGTCTTGGGGACCCCTCAACTTGCAGTTTGTGTCAGAAGTGAGGGTGTTTTGAGGGACTCCTTAACCTCACCGCTTTGGACTCAGACAGACCTGGGTTTCCAAGCCTGGTTCTACCAGCTCTGTCTTGTGGGGGTTGTAGAGGGAGGGTCGCTGCCCCCAAACAATGTCTCTGAGGGGTGATCACAAACAGAGTGCGGCAAGCGGGCTCCCCTTCCTGGAGTCTTACCATCGTCCTCGTCCTTGGCACCTGGCGTGGGTACCAACGGGGGTTCTGCTGGCCGGCAGTGCTCCTGTCCCCATTTAAGGATGACTTTGTGAGAACATCGTATTTCAGTATCTGTACATCCAAAGAGGAAAGACATGTGAGTGACTTGTTGGAGAGCATGCTCATTCCCTGGGAACCGAGGACATCAATGCCCACAGACAGAGGGGTTCAAGCCCCTCCAGCGTAGACTCCAAATGACATCTACCTGGGGTCAGTATAACAGCAGAAATGAAAGCAGCCAGCTTCCTCCTCCATCTTTAAGCAAAGGTCCTCCTGCCATCCAATAACTGACACTACATACTGAATTTTTAGAAATAAAAATCCTGACTGAGCCATCCAGGCACCCTAGCATGATTCCGACTTTTAAGGATGACTTCTTGACTTTAAATATCATAAGAAACACTCATTAAAAAGTGTTTTTATGTATTCTTTTATAAAATGTTTTGAATCTTATGGAATAAAAATGGTTGTTCAAAAAAAAATCTTGAATTTATCTGGCATTTGGCGCTACATTGCAATTTTTGTATGTGTTCAATGAATGTATTCAATGCAAACATTTAAAGTGTAATACGATCCTTTTGTTCTTTTAAAAGGGCAAGTCCCTGGATTTCTCTTAATCCCTAATAGACCTGTTTCCCCTTAGGGTGTGGGATTAGTGGGGAGTGTGTGTGTGTGTGTGTGTGTGTGTGTGTGTGACCCTTCATTTTTTGCTTTGTACATTTCTGCACTGCTTCCATTTTTTTGGAAAAGATATTCTATTTATTATTAAAAATGCAGATATTAAAGACAAGTTCTATCTGTACACTTAGCATAGTCCCCGGGATACAGTAAGTGTTCAACAAATAGTAACAAATAACAATAACTAAATGCTCCAAGTTTCGGCCCTCTGCTTGAAAGGGTGAGTTCCTTGAGGGCAGGGACTGGGATCGTCCTCTCACTTCCTTATCCTCATTGCCACCATGCTGTAGCACACGGTTGGTGCTCCATAAACATGTACTGAATAAAGAAATCAGTGGATGACCTACAGCTGTGACCTCTTTGCTGTGCTTCAGCCCATCAGATAGGGCTGCCTCTCTTGGAAGGCCCATCATTGCTTCCATGGTATTCTGTCCCAAACAGACTTCACTCTCTGATCTGCCCTCTGCCCCCAAAGGGACCTCCCTTTTCTGATCAAGGTCACCCAGCCCAAGAACCTAGAGTTGAGCTTTGCAGGCAGACACAATCATTGTAGGGAGCGCCAGCCCAAGTCACACAGGGATCAGTACCTTGGTTGGGATGGGACTCCACTGAACCTCAGCACCAAAGACATAGCGGTATGGCTTTCCGTTGTGAGCATAATTGATCCGAGGCAGTTCTAAGCCTGAAGAGAATGACATGGCCAATGAAGCCCCCATCACTGAGGGCTGGGAGCATCCACCCTTCATGCCAGGCTGGGCATCCTGTCCACAAAAACAGCTCCCAGTCCAGGATCCCTGAACTTGCTTCAGGCCCTGGATTAGATCAAGGTCAGTAACAGGGCAGGGGGAGGGAAACTCTGATAATTACCTTGGCTCTATTAGAAGGTTCAGGAGCAAGGAAAGAGAGACCTAGTTTTTTTTAAGTGTATAAGCATCTTTAATTATCCAAGATAGAAATCAAAAAGAATTGCATGATTAAAATCAGAGGCTACTGCAATTTTTTTAGAGCTCTTTAAAAAAATAAAGTACTCATGTGTGCATGCACATGTGTGGGGGTGTGGAAAAAACTTCTGAAGCTATGGAAAGGGATGTCCATGGGGAATAGTTAAATAAATCTGGCGAATTCACCTAATAACCCAAGTAAAACTAATGTTTACAAAGAATTTTAATAACATGGGAAAGTGTCCATATCATAAGACAAAGTGTAAAAGGCTGGTTATAGTATTATCTCCACTATGTTACAAAGGTAGAGAAAAGGTTTGGAAGCATTGCAGGGGTAATAACTTCCTTATAGTTTATATTTTATATTGTACACTGTAGGTTTCTCATTACATGAAATTTTTGTTATGCCTTTTACTTTTGTAATAAAAAAACTAAATATTTTGTCCATGTACATGCATACATATATGCCTGTTGTGTCAAATTAAATTTCTAAGTCTGAGGGCTGAAATGAAAATTCCCCCTCTTATGGAATATTCCAAGCAGTCAGAGCCAACTGCTGGTGAAAATATAATGTCCAAGAAAAGAGGAAGCAGGCATGGAAAATCTGCCACACAGAGCCCTCCTGAAAAAGACCCAGGGCATGAGTGGTTATCAGGCTTGGGGGGAGTGCAGGGGAATGGCCTGTTGAGGTGGGAAGATGTCCAGGCACACAGACAAGTAATCATGAAATTTTCAAGAGACAGGTCACAGTGACTGTGAGCTGGAAGGACCACCCACATACAGAAATCAGAAAAAAATGCCCACAGTTGCCCCCAGAGTAGGTCTGAGACTTCGCACGGTGCTCCTGGACCTGAAACCTGGTCTGGGGACCAACTCCCCCCCCCCCACCTCCACCCTGTCAATGACTAGCCTCAGGAACTTGGTTAAGTAAAATAGGATTTATCCCTGTAAATTCTGTGAGGCTATTGAAACCATGCTCTTGAAGAATCTTCAGGATGTGCAGAAATTCTCAGGTTATATTCATTCAGTGGAAGAAGCCATTTCAGAATATTCTAGATGGTACGGTATGCATTGTGTAAAACTATAAATGCAGAGGTTAAGGGTTTTTGAGTTTGAGAGACCTGGGTTCAGATCTTGGCTCTGCTGCCTATCTTTGGCCAAGTTATGGAATTATCTTCAGTTTTGCTGTCCTCAGTTCTAAAACAAGAAAGACATGTGCCAACACCTGCCTCCCAGAGTTGTTCTGATAACTTCTACCTTGTGCTGGACTCTCACTATGGGCCAGGCCCTTGGTGAAGCACTCTATATGTGTGAATTCACCTAATGTCAAGGATAATGGGATGAGACTGTTGGGGTGAGGTCTGGGAAGCTCTAGAAGAGGGCCTGGCACATGCCAAGCACCCTGTGCATGACAGAAAGACAATGGGTATTTCCAAAGGGTTGCCATGGGTGAAGGGATTATGAGGGATCTATCTATTTACATACTTTTCAGGATTGCCCAAGATTGCCACAGTAAGCGAGAAATCTCTTCCCCGATACAAAAAAGACCACAACGTTTTAACCCTCCATCTGCCCAATGTGGCAAGTGAGTGGAGATGCAAGTCAATGCCTTAAGAACTGGGAACAAGGGGCGCCTGGGTGCTCAGTCAGTTACGTGTCTGCCTTCAGCTCTGGTCGTAATCCCAGAGTCCTGGGATCAAGCCCCATGTGGGGCTCTCTGCTTGGCGGGGAGCCTGCTTCTCCCTCTCCCTCTGCCTGCCATTCTACCTGCTGGTGTGCGTTCTCGCTCTCTCTGCCAAATAAATAAATAAAATCTTAAAAAAAAAAAAAAAGGTCTATTACCAAGATCTATATATTCACTTCCAAAGACTCCCAGCGCCGGGGGTGCCACCCAGAACCTGTTTCAGGATCCTAGGATGCTATTTTAGAGCAGTGGTTCTTATGGGCAAATCTGGGGTTGTCCTAACAAAGTCCCCAAGACAGTGTCCTTCCAGATGTGTGCACCTGGCGGGAGCCAACGTGAGAGCAAAGCAGAGCCATGCCTGGCCACCCTCTAGCTGAGTGTCCTGGACAAGACCATTCATTCCACACCTGTGTTGAGGATGGACCCCTCTAAGCCACACTTCTGTCACATGCTGGGGATACACTGAGCACAGAAACATAGTCCCCACCTCACAGGCTTATATTCTAGGGCAGTGGTTCTCCATCAGCATGATGGTGCCCCCACCGGACATTGGCACTGTCTGGACATGTTTTTGGTTATTCCAATTCAGGGTGCTGGTGCTACAGGCATCTGGTGGGTCAAGGCCAGAGGTGTTGCTCAATATCCTACAGCCCCCCGCACAAAGCGCGACCCAGGCCCCCGCACAAAGTGCGACCCGGCCCCAAATATCAGGGGTGTCCAGATTCAGAAGCCCGGCTCTCATGGGCGTGACTCTTACTGGAGGGGTTTACACTCTGTGGAGCACAGCCTTTCTGAGCCATCTCCTCCTCTGTCAGATGGGGCTGATGGCCCCTGTTCTGCAGGGTATTCTGAAGGTGTAGAAGTGGCAGTGCAAACACACTGTCCCTGTTCAGTAAGTCAGCGTTCAATAAATCGGCGCATTTATAGAGGCCAGCTGTGAAAGTCATCTGGTCTAACACCCCCGCCCCAGTACCTTCCTGGGAGCTGTTTGAAGATATATGAAAGAGAACTGTCCCCAAATGTTTTCCACTGGGGCACCCCAAGAGTCTTCCTGTTTGTCCCTTGTCGGTGCATAGCTTCTCTGCATCAGAAGGAGGTACAGAGAAGTCTCACGGGAATTCACGAAAGGCTGCCCCTTCCCCAAGCGTCTGCAAAGAGGATGCATTTTACCTTCATAAAGCAACTCCGGCTGGCAGTAGACCTGGTCATCTTTTTCCTTCAGGGCTCTTGCTGTTGTAGATGCCAGTTTGATTAAATTTGAGCCCACTTCTGCATCCTGAATCAGTTTTCAAAAAAAAAAAAATTGAAAACTGGTTATCCAGAGCAAACACTTGCTTTACTGTGTACATTAAAAAAAAAAAAAAGTGCTTTAGTGGATGTCATCTTGTTCTGGCCTTATGTGAACCATAGGAAGCAGCTATCATATTGTTGGTATTTTTATTCTTATTCTCTGAGACCTCGTAGCTGGTAGGTAGTAGGACGGGGGTCCCAAAACTCCTGGCTCTTTTTTCCTACTGTGGGCTACCTTATCTTTCACAGGTGAAATTAATGTATTGGTAGGTTCTCACTTTTTCAATACTGGCTGATTCGCCTGTGTAAAGCTGCATCGGTCATTAAAAGGATGTTTATAAAGAGTTCATAATAACATGGGAAATGCTCATGATAGAATACCGAGAAAAGCAGTAGAGTAAATTGCGTACGCAGTCTGAGCTCAATAAGCTTAAAAAGAACTTCCGCTGAAAAGAGCCTGGGGGAAATATACCAATTATTAACAAGACAGCAGGCGGTGGGATTATGGGGACTTTCTTTTTCTACGCTTATCTGTATTTTCAGGATTTTCTCCTATGAAAATGTACCACTGCTGAAATGAAAACAAACAGGCAATAAGAATTGCTTGGGAGTGAAGGATCTATGGAGGGCATTCCTTGGTCTCAATTTATAATCAGACTTTATTCAGTGCCTTACCATCATCATGGTAACCCAGGAGAGGGATTTAAAACAATTGATTAAATATTTATTGAGCCTCTACTACTATCTCTGGAGTTCTATGTCCTTATCTGCATAATAAGGTACAGTAGATGCATCATGCAAAGAGTATACGCATCTCCAAGTTACTGTGCAGATTAAATAATCCATGCAAATGGTTTACAAGAGGGTCTGGTTAATAGTCTGCTAAATAAATGTTAGTTGCAGTTGATAATGTTGTTGTTGTTTTAAAGATTATTTACTTATTTATTTGAGAGAGAGCAAGCTCAAGCAGGGGAAGCAGCAGAGGGAGAAGGAGAAGCAGGCTCCCCACTGAGCTGGGAGCCCGACGTGGGGCTTGATCCAAGGACCCGGGGATCATGACCTGAGCCGAAGGCAGACATTTAACTGACTGAGCCACCCAGGCACCCTGGTTTATTTGTTTGTTTCTTTTTTTAAGATTTATTTATTTATTTTAGGGAGAGAGAGATCATGCACACGTGAGTGGGAGGGGCAGAGGGAGATGGAGAGAGAATCTCAAGCAGACTCTGCTCTGTGCGAGGAGCCCAATGAAGGGCTCAATCTCATGACCCTGAGATCAGGACCTGAGCCAAAACCAAAAGTCAGATGCTTAACCAAATGAGCCACCCAGCCTCCCCTACATTGTATATTATTATTATTATTATTATTACCACCACAGGGAGTGAGTGCAGTTTAGGCAATGAAGGAGGAGAAATAAGACCAAGCCCCTGCCTCCGTGGAGTTTACAGGTTGAGAATTATTGTTATGGCTGACTTCTCATTTAAACTTTTCTCTACTTTCCAAATTTTCCAAAACGGGATTTTATAATTAACAGAAACTTATTTGAATGATAGCAGCTTTTTGCTGGGAAGGGGGGTAAATTTGCTGCATCCTAGCAGTTGAACTGCAGGGGCCCTCTGAGATTTTAGTTCAATCCCTAGTTGACAGAAGAGGAAAACGAAGCCCAGAGAAGGAAAGTGAGTTGCCCAAGGCCACACAGAGGAAAGGAGAGTCTGGGCCCTTGGCAACGCAATTCTGCTCAGAAGCAAGGGCACTGTAGGCAGAGGGCAAAGCAGGTACAAAGGCCCTGAGGCTGGCCTATTCCCATCCTGTATGTCTCTGCTCAAATATCCCCTTCCTTAACATTTCCATCTGCAGTGTCGCCCAAGGCATTTGTCCTGAGCTGTAATTATCTCCTGTATGGAGCTGCTTCCTTCTTTTATGTTGTCTTCCCCTTGAAGACGGGACCAGATTTTGTTCAGTGCGTGGCACATAGCGCCCAGGAAGCAACTGCTCAATGAATGAGTGAATGCATGACTCAATAAACTTTCCTTCCACTGTCAAGGTGCAAAACATGTGCTGTACAGGGTAGTTGTAGGAATTAAATGAGATGAAATGCGTGGAAAAGTCGCCCGGCACTCAGTACATCCACCTGTACCACACCACAAAGCAGCGGAGACTACCTGGTGCCTTGCTAAGTCACCTGACAGCAACAGGCCTGCTGTGCATGCCCTGGGCCTGCATCGCAGGGAGTCCGTCTGCAGAGACGTCCTCTAATTCAAGCCTGAAACTGGTCAGACTGGTTGAGGGATAAACTGAATTTTTCCACACAGCAGTAATGAACATGACTTGGCTGCTTTTGGTGGCCAGTGTGCTCAGCTTTGAGAAGAAAGGGCTTTCCAGCCCAACATCACCAAAATCCTACAGGTTTGCTTTAAAACCCCTTAGCTGGAGGGAACTCCCGGGAGAAGTGGCCATCTCGGTCATTCCCCGAAACCCTGGCTTTGGGGTTCAGAAGCCCGCTGTGTGAAATCAGACTCTAAGGGCTTCTATGTGAGCTTGAGCAGCCTCCCCCCACCCTCAGCCCTCAGGCCTCCCCGACCCCATTTCCTGGTTTGTAAAATATGGGGGCAATTCATAACTTTTTGACGGGTGGTGACCATAAGGGGGGTTGCTTTGACTGCTGTCTGAAGACTACGGTTACAATTAAACAATGGTTATAAAAACACCTGGTCCAGGGCCAGGCACATCATAGTTAGTAACTCAGAGCCAGACAGACATGCATTCAAATCCCAACTCAACCCCCACAGGTGTTCCTGCAATGTTGGGCAAGTTACTTTTTCTCTCATCTGTAGTCACGGGGATAATAAACAACATAGAGGGGTGTCCTACTGATTAGGTGAGAAGCATGAAAACATTTAACAGTTCCTAAAATTTGCAGGACCCAGGACAAGAGTGGAGACCCACCACCCTAAGTCTAAATACACTGAGCAAATTGTTAAGTGAGATACCATTCTCTCCCCTACCTTGATACAGAGACCTTCATAATGTGGAACTGCACTGTCCAATATGGTAACCACTGACCACATGTGGTTATTTACATTTAACTTAAAATTAAGTACAATTAAACATCCAGTTCCTCAGCTGCACTGGTCACGGTTCAGTGGCCCACGTGGCTAGTGGCTACTGCATTAGACTGAGAATGCTTCATCATTGCAGTGGATTCTTTTGCACAGTGCTGGTCTGTAAGGATGTGTGAATTTGGAATTCTAGGACTCCTTGGAGTTTTGAGCCAGGTTAGGGTGGCAGAATGAGGGCCAGCCTCTGGGCTCAGGTTCTTTGTTTCCTGCCCCCTTTTCTTCTCACTGCACAGATTCCCCAGCCAAAATGACCAAGCCAATAGCCAACTCTGGCTACCTCGTGGGTCTGAGGCCACAACACCAGTGGTGCAGCCTGCTTTTAGGAAGAGACGAGCAGGCACCAGAAGCAGTCGTGGGGCTATCTGGGCAGAGAATTCAGGGATCCCGGGTAGATGGTTCATGGGGCAAGGGAGAGCACATCTCCAGATGGGCACAGCCTTTTGGCCCTATGAACTCCTCACTCTGTGAGGAAGGGAAACTGCCAGAGAAGGGCAGGATCAGGAATCCACGCCCCCCCAGATGCTCAGGCCAGAGCAGGGGCCCCTCCTGCTGGGGTCTAAGAGGAAAAAAAGCATCTAACACAGGGCCTGGCACATAATGAGCTCTCAGCAGCTTCTTTTATTATTGGATCTTTGTTTTTGCACTTGGGGTCAAGACAAAACCCAAATCTACTGAGCCAGGAGTCAAAACCACCCGTTGTAAGTCCACAGTGCCTTCTCCCATGATGGCCCCTCACGCACGGATAGCTGTTGGAAGGGAAGGCAAGTGCTGATGAACCCACCTGGAGGCAGCGCACTGAGCCCCGCAGGACGAGGGCAGGGCTGCTGCCCGAACTGTCTGTACACGTCCATGCCCCTCCCAGCCCAGCCCTGCCTTAGACAACCCTGTGCCACCCTGCATAAACAGGCCAAGGGTGCCAAGGGGCCCCACCTTCCTTTGACCCCAGCTGGCCCAAACACAAGAGAATCTGGGGCAGCTGGGAGGTCCCAGACTTTTAAATATACTTCACTATGACCATTCTATACGGAAAGCACTTTCCACTTAGGAAATGTTCCAAATGCTAGAGAGAGACCTGAGTCCTTTTAGAGACCCCCCCCCCTTCACATTTCTCACCCAATTGTCATTCGTTCATTGATTTAGAGTAGTCAGGAGCTTAATGAGAACCCTTTTGGGTGCCAGGCCCTGTGACGGGTGCAGGGGATAAACAGCTGACAAGACCAAGGGCTCTGGCCCTCCCAAAGCTTTCCCAGGGCAGGTGACTGAACAAGCTCATTTACCTGGGACAAATGTCCAGCAAGGAACTGCAGGTGCCATCAGAGCATACAAACTCCTCTAAAGGGCGTGATGATCCTGACACCCGAAGGCTGAGCAGGAATTTGCTAGACTCGCTGCAAACTAGAAGCCCCTGTGGGCTGAGACCATGCCCTGCCCTTCCCCGCCCCCAGGACCCAGCCCAGGTGCCTAACCCTCACCCCGTGAGTCCAACCTGAAGCCAAGACTGGAGCGGAGACCTGATGGGAAGAGGACAGGGTTGCAGGCAGAGGGACAGCGACAGTGCCATGGTCCCAGACTGATGGGTGACAGAGAAAGCTGGCGTCTCCCAAGGTCTGTCCTAAAAAACCTCTGGATAGGACGGAATTAGAGCTGCCAGATCTAGACATGTCTGCCATGTCCATCTGCTCAACTTTTTGATTTCAATATGCAGGCAGGGCAACTTGAAAGTGAAGCAAGAAGATGTTTAAGGGACAATAAATAGCAATTAAAAAGCGTGGCCAGAGCTACCCTTCCCAGGGCTCACACTTCTTTGTTAGTTTCAAAGCAGTAGATGGCTCACATGGCAGCTTTTCAAAATATACATGCTGAACTTCTTAGCCTAGTTCCAAGGAAGCAAATCATTTTTCAAGCATGATAAAAGGTTATAAAATCCCTCGGTGTGTGGGCAGTGGGAGGGAGCGTTTCCTTTCTCTGTTTCATCCCCGGGCCTAAGTTGATGTGAGGCATGGCCAAGCCTTGGGATTTGCCACCTGTGTGCTCTATGACACCCCCACTGCTTCCTGGAACCAGGAGATCAAGCATGGCACTGCGGTAGGGCCCGTGTGATGACTTTGTGGAAGGTGGCTGTTCATTCAATAGCCCTGAACCACGTGGGGAGAAAGTTCATTCCTTCTTCTCTTCCAGTCTTTCTGACTGGGTCAAGCAGAGAGTCTCAGTGAGGTGCCACTATGTCTTTAACACCTCATACTTTTAGAACTTTCTTTTTAACAAAGAGATTAAGTCTTGGCAAGCAATAGTATCTGGCTAGAGCTTCAGACCTCTGCTTTTCTCCCCACTGTTTTATGTCCATGCTTGTCTTCTATTTGCAGGAGGCAATGCTAGCTTTCCATTAGCCAGTGATAGTTTCCTTTCAAGAGCGAGTAGATTTAACAGATCTGTACCTCTGAAACAAATAATACATTATATGTTAAAAAAAAGAAGAAGAAGAAGAAGAAGATAGCAGGAAGGGAAAAATGAAGGGGGGGAAATCGGAGGAGGGGATGAACCATGAGAGACTATGGACTCTGAGAAACAAACTAAGGGTTCTAGAGGGGAGGGGGGTGGGGGGATAGGTTGGCCTGGTGATGGGTATTAAGGAGGGCATGTTCTGCATGGAGCACTGGGTGTTATATGCAAACAATGAATCATGAAACACTACATCAAAAACTAATGATGTAATGTATGGTGATTAACATAACATAATAAAATTTTTAAAAATGCCTTATCATTTCAAAAAAAAAGAGTGAGTAGATTTAAACAAAGCACGACTTTGTGAATGTTAAATCGAGGTGATAGGAGATATGGTGAAAATCGTGACAGAGATAGACCAATGATTACAGATGGGGAAATGCTGGAAAGATAGGAAAGAACCCCAACTCTGGAGCCAGACAAACTGGGGTGCCCTGCTGACTGGGAGGGAGCATGCCTGAGCTCCTGCATTGAGGAGCCCGGGCAGTGAGGGTACAAGAAGATTCTCTGGGTCTCTGTAGTAGTGTCCTCCATTTTCCAGGCCTGCAGAGCCCCGAGAGGGGTCAGGGTGACCTGTCTGGGCTCTTTTCCGGACTTAGGCCTGCTGGGGAGAATGGCAGAGTTGTACATTTACCAACTGCAAGCATATAGATTGGGTAAAAAGGGGGCAGGGGGAAAGCTGACCCCTGGGTGTGCCAGGGGTTGAGAGACAGGCTGCTGCAGGTGCTAATCATAGGCTCTGCCCCTGAGGGCTGTGTGACCTTGGGAATATTCCTTAACTTCTCTGAGCCTCAGTTTCTTCATCTGTAAAATGAGGCTAATATGAGGACCTCTCCCATAGGTTGTTTTGATCACTAAGTGAGGCAAGGAAAATAAAATGCTTAGCAAAGTACCTGGCACATAGAGTTCATTTAGTAAATAGGAGCCATCAAAATTGAGTTGAATTGAATTTGCTTTCATTTAAATTAATTAAGTCATGAAGTCAGTGAGTTCTGGAGCCAGGAATCTCTGTAGCCTCCGAAACCAAGCCCGGAGCCTTGGTAGCATCACCCTAATTGAGGATAATGTCTGGCTTAGTGGTCATTTTTAATGCAAGAAGGGGACTAATCAACAGCAGGGCATTGGGTAAGCGAATAGTGATGAATCCCAGCCTGGAATCGTCACACAAATATTTAAAATAATGTTGTAGAAGAATACTGAATGTCATGGAGAGATGTTTAGATATACACATTAAGCGGAAAAAAGCAGTGCACAAAACAGTATGTGCATATTCCACCATGAAAAGCAAGGAAGGGTTGGTGTGTGCTGAGGCAGAGACCAGGCCTCAGAAACACGGCACAGAGGGAGGGTGGCCACCGCGGGAGACCACCTGGCGTGTGTGTGATGTGTCTAGAACAGGCAGATCCTCAGAGACAGGAAGTGGATTAGTGCTCACCTGGGGCTGGGGGATGGAGGGGTGGAGCAGGGTAAGTGGAGGGGTTTCTTCCCAGGCTAATAAAAAGGTTTTAAAATCCAGCTGGTGGCACAACTCTGTGAAGTTACTAAAAGCAGCTGAATGGTCCACTTTAAATGTATGGTATGTGAAATTATCTCTCAATAAAGCTGTTAAAAATTCTCTGTGATTTCCTTCTCTAAAATTAAGCAATATAAAATATACATGTATATATTTCTAAGTTTTAGAGAAGTCCTACTACATAGAATTTTTCACAGCTTTATTGAGACATGTATCAATAGGCATGTGTATTATATATACATATACACAGATACATCAACATGTGTATTAATATGTCTGTTGGCCTATCTACTGAGAGAGAAAGAGAGAGTTGTGGGAGGCAATACAAATATATCCATAAGAGATTCATGTTTTTTTTTTCCTTTTTACCCAATCTATATTTTCTTAGGTTTCTACGATGAATATGCACCACTTTTGGAAAAACAATGAAAAAATGTTTTGTCTTTATGAACAGCTTGCTTTGGATTTCAACGTCAATCTAATGAGCGCCAAAGTCACTCCCCACTGGGGCTCACAACTCCCCAGGAATGAAATGGGTCCCCTTCCAAGCTGTTACCTTGTCCACATTGAGGGGCACGGTGAACCTCCTGAGGGTGGGGATGGAGGTGAGCCTGCAGTTCTCCTCAAAGTCCTGGTTCAGGTTGGCCAAGTAGAAGAGCTGGTAAAGGCTGCTGTCCTTGTAGGTGACGACGTCAAACAGAAGGCAGCCGTCCTCCTCGTAGGCGTTGACGTGATGAAAGACCACCATGGGGTCCGTGTAAAACTCAGTGGGCACAGGCTTCCTGGTCCTCTGGTCGATGATGTGAATGTAAGTCTGAAAGCAGAGGCACACCCAGGGGTCAGCTTTCCCCCTGCCGGCCCGGCACGATGGCAGTGGGTGCAGGACAAGACCCAGCCCTGCCCTCCACTAGCTCGTGACCCTGGAGCATCCCCTTCCCACAGAGCTCCCGGCTGTTGCTGGTCCCTGATCACCTCCTTCAGATGGAGCAGTTAGGGAAGCTTTGCTGCTGGGGCCTCTGCAGCACCAGGGCAGAGTCTGGGGGAAGCCCCTGAGGCTACACCCATCTCTCCCCTCCTTCAAGCAACTGTGACTCCAGGTGGGCCGTGACGAGCTAGCTCCCTGGCAATGGCCATGTTGGGGAGAACTGGCCAGTCTTCTAGCCCTCCTTGGGCTCTATCCATAGCTGGAGGCCCTAAAACCCTAAAACCACACCAGCCCTTTTGGGTTCCTTCTCCCGACGTCCACCTGCTGCCTGGTTGGCCAGGATGCAGTTGTCATGGTAATCTCCCTTATCCTGGGAGCTGTGGTGTGGAGCGACCTATTCTAGTTAAGGGGCCCACATGGGTATCTGCACACACCTCTGGGTATCATGAGGTGATATCACTCTGGATGGTAATTAGCCATATTTGCAACCCTAGTTGTCTAATCTGAAGTATGTGTGGGGTTCTTTCTTTTGGCAGCTCTGGCCTAACCACCCTCCTTCTGAAAGGCAGGGAGGGACTACTCCAGGCTGGTCTTTGGCCACCTCCTCCCAGCTCATGTGCCTCTTGCTCTCCTTCTTCAGAATCTAGGTTGAACATTGAGTGGGGGTGCAGAGGAGGAAGGCTTTGACAGCGTGGAGGGTGGGGGTGGTGGGCAGGTGAATATAGAATTATTTTAGCTCTTTTCTTCTCCGTGAACCCAATCCCTGGGTTGGGCACAGAAACTTTTCAGAGAGCTCTCAATGCATTCCAAAGCCCTTGCCCGGGCTTTCTGCCTGCACCTGGCAGCTCGGTCTTCTCTCTGTGGGATTCTCTGAGGGCCAAGGGATGTCCAGGGGCTGAAGAGCAATCCAATTACAGCTGGCTTCCCTGTTGGCCCCTAGCCCCAACATTTATTCCACAAATATAGACAGAGGGTCTAGGACACATCAGACACTTTTTCAGGAACATTTTTCCAGGAAAGACAGAACAAAACCAAGCCCTTGCTTTCATGGAGCTTATAGTCCAGTGGGGGAGAGGCCAGCAGTCAATGATCAAATAATGTGCCAAGGACAATGAGCATTACTGAGAAAAATGAAGCCAGGTAGGGGATGGAGAAGCCTGGGGTGGGGTCTGTTAGAGATTGGTTTATCACGAAAGGCTTCAGGGATCTGGACATTTAGCTGAGACCTGGATTAACTGAGGGAGGAAACCATCTGGGGAAGAACATTCCAGGTGGAAAGGACAGAAAATGTAAAGAACGTGTTAGGCTAGTTTGAGATACAGGAGGTCCAAGAGGAGGCTGAATAGATAGGGAGCCAGTGGTTGGAATGTGGGCCTGTGAAGATTTGCAGGCTTGGTCAGTGAAGCCTTTGGATCTTATTCTGAGGAAGATGGGAAATCACAAGAATGTTCTGAGCAGAGGAGGGACCTCACTCTCCTCCCTGAGAAGAAAGGACAGGTCTTAAAGACACATAGTGGTGGTTCCCTCTGGAGAGGGGACTGCCAGTGGCCAGGGGGAGGACAGGGGACTTGACATGTTACTTTCTCTCCTTGTGTATTGTTTGAATAGAGAATACTAAAAATTCCTTGATATTTATCACAAGTAAAAATTTACTCATTTCAAGAGGAAGTAAATATATACACACATATCCATGCACAGATATATTCATACACATATATATGTGCATGCACACACACACACACCCGTATATACAGGCAGGCATACACACGTATACACACATCCACACTTGGAGCACTCAGGTGTGCCTGCAGATGTTTGGTTGTACCATCTGGTGGAACGCTCTATCATTATGATGTCTAAATCATCTACGGCACCCTTCCCTGACATTACCCAGTGGCTGCCGGGACGCTGGAAGGGCCTTGTCCGTGGATGGTGGAAGCTGCAAGGAGTCCAGACATGGGTCAGGACTGAGGAGTAGCCCTTGGCCACCGGGCTGGTGCCGACTGCCTGGCTGATGAGAGCCGGCTTGCCCGAGGTCACATGCTTTTCTGACAGGTACCGTCTGCTCTACTGACTCATTGACTTGGGGCCCCGGCCCCCTCACCCCCACCTGGGACCACTCTGCAGAATCATCCAACTTCAGAACTCTCTGGAAGCTTGGCTGATGCTTCCGGGGAGACTGCACGGTGGCTCACACCCTCCCTCCCTAGCAAACCTCCTGCATGCCAAGCTCCATGTCAGTCTGCTTCCTCCCTCGGGCCATCCCTGTGGGGCTGGGGGTCCCAGCCAGGTCTTACCTTGTCCTCCTTGTGGAAAGCCAGGCAGGAGGCCCAGTTCACTCCCCGGATGTACGCAGTTGACATTTTGAGGATATCTAGCTTGAAAGGCTGCTTGAGGAAAACGATGCGGTTCTCAGTGACTCCGAAGCTGTGCTAATAGCTCGGGGAGAGGAGGGAGGGGGAGATGATGGAGCAGAACACCTCCATGTGCTTCACGGGGTTCTTCCCCTTCTTGTCCTCTGGAGAAAGGCAAGCCTCAGGAGCAGCACAGGACCTGCCACCCCCAGACAACGCCCCCATCACCTGCAGCGGAGCCTTTCAAACCGACCTCGTCGCTAAGAAGAGCCTTTAGATGAGAGCTGACAAGTAAACCGATGAAGGGGCTGTTGTCCGGCTGACGCAGGGGCTCCGAGTGTTCCCACTTAGGCCCTCCTGCCCTACAAGACCTGGTGCTACAATCTGAAAGCATGGAGCCCTGGAGCCAGACCTCGGGGCCAGGGGTCTGCACGACAGCCTGGGGGCTCAAACCAGCCTCCACCTGTGTTTGCATCAAGGTTTCTTCGAAACACAGCCACGCTCCCTCCTTTATGCGGGGTCCGTGGCTACCCCTGCTCTCGAGCCTCAGTGGCTTTGCTGAGGAGTTGCAACAGGGACTACAGGTCTGCAAAGATTTTCGCTCTTGGGCCCTTTCCAGAAAAAGCTTGTCGCCCCTGCTCTGGAGCAACACCTCTTCATGCATACGGATCATCAGGGTTCATGATCAAAGTGTGAAGTCTGACTCAGTATGTGGGGCTGGGGCCTGAGGTTCTGCATTTCTATCCAGCGCCCAGGGGATGGGCCAGCTTCCTAGGCTTCGACTTTGATATTTTGCTGAGGCCCATTATTTGAGATGTACCTCACAGGGTTTCCATGAATTTCTCTTCGCGCTGACCATTCAGAAACAGCTGGGGGTGAGACTAAGTGATAAGAGACTGTTATACATCTTGTGACAATGGAAGAAGACAGTATGATCCCCATTTTACAGATGGGAAACTGAGGCATGATGGAATATGGTCTATCATTATGGCCAAAGACACAAGGTTTAGGCCAAGAAGACACAGCCCTCTTAGCTGGGCCACCTCCTCTGTTATTAGGGATGATAACACTCACAGAGTGGAGAGAGACAACAGAATGAAATCATGAAGTAGTCCAAGTAGCTTGGCCTGTGTCCAGACAGCAGAGGTGCGCAATACACGTTCGTGCTCTTATTCCTCTGTCAGGATGAGTCACCACTGGCCAAAAGGCCTCCCCACCCAGGCCTGGGGCTGGCTTATAATGAGTTATCTGCAAGCGTCCCCGCCTTGCTTGTGGCCACCTGGGCACACCGTAAACAGCTGACTGGTGGGAGGGAGGCTGTGGGGTTGTGGGGTGGTTCTTTTCTTCACAAAACAAATGGAGCACAAAGCAAACTGAAATGGAAAGCACCCTGTCCTAGGAGGCAGGACATGGGCATGAATTCCAGGGAAGCCACCAGCATGCAGGAGGGGCTCAGTGGGGAGCTGCTAGCATGGTGCTGGAGGCTCCTGCTGCCACCTGATCCCCCTGGGCCTCATCACCCTCTTTTATAATATGACATGGCAAATTCAGATGCCTGGACCATCCACAGGTCTGACATTCTAGGAGTCTGGCTGGACGCTCTAATCCTTTATTAGCTTAATTCATGGGAGTTCCGTTTAAGAATACTCATTGTGCCTTCTGACCTTAGGGGCTCACATCTGCCAATAGAGCCTAGTAAGTAGCTCAGGAGCTTCTACAAGACTAGGAGGGAGGGGACCAGCTGGGATCACAGATGGAAGCCAGTTTTCCTAAACCAGCAGGTCAAGCCCGCACTCTCGTCATTCTGCCCTGTCTCCTGAGCCCTGTGCAACCACCCTCAGAGGCCTGGTCTCCTGGGTGTGGTTCCCCAGGAGGGTCCTGGACAAATAAGGGTCAGGAGCCTCCTCCCCTCAGGAACATGAAATCACAACTAGCCTGGGCTTTGCTCCAGGTTCCTGGCCTTAAATGGAGAAGGTCCAGAAGGCCCAGAGAATGGGGGGGGGGGGGGGGGAGGAGGGGGGTGGAGTCTGAAAGGTTGAAGGTCTGAAGCAGGGCTGAGCTCCCATAACAATACTAGGAACCTGGCTTCAGGGGCTGGGTTGAAAGTGGGCAGTACAGCTTTGGCATACAAAGTTATGTTAGAAAACTGAAAAAAAAATGGATGGAAGGAATGATGTTTGATGGGCGGAGGGATGGACAGACAGGTGGTTGGATGGATGACGGATGGATAGGTAGATGGATGGATGATGGATGGTTGGACAGACGGATGGATAGTTAAATGGTGGATGAATAATGGTTAAATTAATGAATCAATGAACTGGAGCCTAAAGAAAAGCAGGTTAGAATAGTAAAGGAATTCGTTCTTTCAAAAGGAAGCCTGGCAACATCTCTTTTCCCCTGAAGGAGAAAAGTGTGTTCATGGTCATCTGAATCACCCATGAGGGAAAGTGTCAGATTGAGTCTTATGTCATCAGTAAAAATCAGAACTCTTTAGAGGTAGCCACCCTTGGCATCTGTCCTTCAAGATACCCCCAGAATGACCTACCTGGTACAGTGGCAGGGATCTTAAAGATCACATATTTCGTCTTCCCCTTGTCCATGATGGATGTGCCCATATTAAGAACATTTCCGGCTGCATCATAATGAGGATGTGCTGTTGCCAGATTTACAGGCACGTATTTGCCATAATCAACCTGCAAAATGATAGCCACCTGCTTTTACAAATGGGGGGAGGGTGAAACTTGATGAAAAGCACCTACTTCTAGGTTGAGAGAGATGAGGGCTCCTTTTGCCTATCTCCTGATGTGAAAATAAGGCAGACTTCACCTTTAAAGAGAATGTTTACCCGTGTGACCTGATAGCACCTCATGGGTGGCCTCCTACAGCACAGAGGTTGCAGGGGAGTCGGTGAGCTGTGTGTCTTTTCTGTGACAGTTGTTGCAACCCTGCCCCCTGGCCCTGAGGGTGTCCTCAGCATGGCAGCAGGATTCCTCGACACAGACCAATGACCTGCACAGAGAGGCAGCCTTAGCACTAATCTTAACCGCTGCTTTGTGTCTTTCTGGTTACATCATTTAAATTCTCCCCTTTTGCATGCCACAGAGGCATAAATCTCCAGGGCTCTCTCACAGGATTATTCTGGGAACAGAGAGTTACAAAAACGCTTGGTCAAAGCGAAACTTGACTAACAAGCCCAGTAATGGCCCCCCCATCCCCAACAGGGCACAGCCACAGAATAATGCGTGCCTGAGGAAACAACTGTCCTCCTCTCTTCCCCCAGAAGAGCATGACCTCCGGCCAAAAGTCAGGCAAGGCTTCATTCTCTCTTAATATTTCCTCTCTGAGGCTTTGTGGAAAGCATACATCAGTTGGACCTATGCCACCCAGCTTAAAAGCTGCTGGACATAATTTCACAGCTAAGAAAAGTATTCCCTTTAACAGACCGTTAAAACGTATTGAGAAGACATTGAGGCTTTGGATAGCCAGCTGGAGAAAAAATGAGTGGGTCTATTGATTTTCATGAAAATGTTGGTTTGATTCTGCCCAGGAAAGGTATCTGCTTGGGTATTTATTTTTGTCCTCTTCCTCTCTGCCTAAGGTCTCCCTCTTCAGGTCAATACCAGGTAGGGCTGCTCCAGTCTGGGCAATCCAGTACAGTCATTCATTCAAACTCCCATTAAGCTCCCACTAGTGGACAATGTTATGGGTTGAATTGTGTCTTTCAAAATGATATGTTGAAGCCCCAACCCTTGGTATGTATATTTGGAAACAGGGCCTTTGTAGATGTAATCAAGTTAAAATGAGGTAATTCTGGATGGAGGTGCACCCTAATCCAATGATTTTTATCTCTAGAAGAGATTGGAGTGATGCATCTATAAGCCAAGGAACACTGAGGATTCCTGGCAGCCACCAAAGGCTGGAAGAGGGAAGCCAGCATCTTCCCCTGGAGCCTTCAGAGAGAGCATGGCTCCGAGGACACCCCGATTTCAGATTTCCAGCCTCCAGAATGTGAGAGAATAAATCTCTGTTGTTCTAACCCACCTAGTTTGTGGTACTTTGCTTCGGTAGCCCTAAGAATAAACACAGACACGGAGATGAAATGACACAGACCTCACCCCAAGAGAGCTTGGAATCTAGTGCTAAGTGCTGTGCTGGGGAAGCTCAGGATCCAATGGCATTAGAGGAGGGGCTGCCCCCGTGTGTTCCTGCAGGCCACATGGCCCAACGCAGGCGGTCTCTCTCTCATGAGCAGGAACTGATGCTGAGGTTGTAGTAGATTCACTGGTACCTTCTCCGGGTTTCCAGAGTCTGTGGGTTGATTTTCCTGATGTAACTGGTCTCTGTGGTCGCATAGACGTCTTCTCCACACTTCATGATGTTAATCAGGCAGTTGTCTGTGAAATCGGGGATGGTATGGGACAAGTATGTGAATGCTCTGTGGAGGAAAGCAGATCAAGAGCAAATCAATGGCTGTGTCTACCCAGCTGGAAAGTTCTGCTCAAGATGGCTTTAGTTTTCCTACCACTTAAAATGCTCTACAATTCAAGGGGGAAAAGTTCCAAGTCCCAAAGGATCACTTGAGGAATCTGGAGGACTTGGAGATCAAGTTGCCCAAAGATACCACTGTGTTGAATTAGCTAAGAAGTGAGTCATCTGGGACAAGATGGCCACCAACTGAACCCTCCTGGGCTCTGAAAAATCCAAAGGTCTCCCACACCAGAGACACCAAGAGCTGGTAGGTTGTTCTGAAGTATTTTAAGAATTTCTACAGAAATCTTATGTATCCATCCATAATGGCCCCCTAAGGCTAGCAAAACAGCTAATCCTTGCTTTTGGAAGAAATGAAAGTCCACAATGGACACTCTGAATTTGTCCAGGAAATTAGTTTTTTTTTTCTTTAAAGGAAAGTAAACAAATTATGAGAGAAAAACTCATCAGTTTGATCAGAAGATCCTGGATCCATATATTGGTTAGTGCTCCCCCTGCTGGTGAATGGTGAAGCAGCAAAGCCGCCCCACAAGGGGTGGTTTTGCGTTCCTTCCCTCCCCCCTCCATCCCCTCCCCACTTCCTGCGTGGCTCCTCCCCCGCCTGCAAATGCCAGTTCAGTGCTTGCTGTGTGCCAGCCCCAGCACTGGATACTGGAACTGGAAAGATGACGTCAGTTCCAGGAAAGCAGGAGCAATCTTCCATCTCTGGACCAGTCTACTGCTAGCACATTTCCTAACTCGTCTATATCCGAAGAGTATCAGGAAGGAGACACTGACAGTGGGTCTGATTCCCTGGCCAACAGTTTAATCATCAAGCCTGTACTACATTCATAGTCATCACAGCCCAGATGATTTGAAACATATCCAACTAAAAACCTTTCCCTGTCTCTTTCTCTCATTTGCCAGTTTCCCCACCTCACAGATCCTCCCACTTTCTCTACGCACATACAAGCAAAAATAAATCCAGATTTCTTGCTTTTTTACACAAAACATAGCATAGCATATGCTCTTTCTACACCTTATTCCGCCCTGTGCCCACCACTCAACAAGGTATCTGGGAAATCTTTCCATTCAGCACATAGGGAGCATCCTCATCACCCCCCACATTTTTTGCTCCTGCCTGGTATTTTCTTGTACAGCTTCACTCTTATTTATTTAACTACCCTTCTGTTGATGAGCATTTGGGTTATGTTCAGTTCTTCATTATAACAAATGATGCAGCCATGGATAACATTGTACGTTTGCCATTCCAGACGCGAGCAAGCCTCTCTCTAGACTGAAGAGAACGTGCGTTTATAATTTTTGAGATATAATTCCAAATTGCTCTCCTACCAGCCATATGGAAAAATACCTAATAATCTGTCAGATGCCCTTTGCCTCTTGCTATCAGTGATCAAGAACTGTGTGCCATAGACAGGCAAAGCCTGGCCAGGTGAAGGTTTTCATGTACTCTACAGAGGATTGTCAGAGGAGAGGACGCTGGTTGTTGTTTTGACCACCAAGGATATCAAAAAGCATGACCAGATTCAAAACAGACAGTTACTTGGAAAACATGTTTTTGCAGGGGTCTAGATAGGCCATCGTTCCAAACTCTGACACCACAATCCTGTTGGCCTTGATGTTGGCATTGTAGGTATCACTTCTCAGGTATTTGCTCCTGTAATAGACTTCACCTAAAAGAGAACATGCAGAATCATCCGGGCTGACACTTTTACAGTCAATTTTACGGTCAATTTCAGTCATTGTAGGGGTATTACAGAAGGAAAGGTGAGTTCAGTAGGATGGTGTCCTTTAGTGTGTGCTGGATACAAGGAGCATTTGCAGTGAGCTCTCACACACATTTCCTCACTTGAGACAACAATATGGTAAGGTAAGTATCCCTATGAGCTCCATTTTACATAGCAGGGGACTGAGGCTCAGACATGTTCATTCACCTTGCCAAGAGGTGCTGATCTGGCGCATGGACCATCTCTTCCACCATGCTAGTATCCCTCCAGGGAAGGTCCGAATTTGGAGGACTGGTCCAGAAGGCCTCATACTTGGCCTGGGTTTCCTCAGGACCTGGTTTAGCCCTAGAAACCTTCCACTGACCATTTCAGCCCCTGGAGTAATATTTGATACCTACTACAGCCAGAGGGTGACCTAGCACCTGATTCCATATATGGTAAAGTGTCAGTACCTGTGTGGAGGTCTCATTCACATAGACACTGGAGAAAATCTAACTCACTGCATAAAAGCAGGGACTCTTGACCAGTTCATCAAGACCAACCTGAAAATGTATATATGTTTCTAGACCTGTATTAGGTTCCTATGGCTGTTGTAACAAATTACCACAAACTTAGTGGCTTAAAATGACACAAATTTGTTATCTTACCATGTTGGAAGATGTAGCCTGAATGGGTCTTACAGGCCTAGAAAGCAAGGTGTCAGCAGGGAAATCTATTTCTGGCTTTTCTAGCTTCTAGAAGTTGCCTGCATTGCTTGGCTTATGGTCACATGACTCTGACCTCTGATGCTATTGTCACATCTTTTCTGACTCTGACCTCCCTCTTTCCCTTGTGATGACGCTTGTAATTACACTGAGCCCACCTGGATAATCTCCCCACCTCAAGTTCCTTAACTTAATCACATCTGCAAAGACCCTTTTACTTCGCAGAGTAATGTAATATATTCACAGTTTCCTTCTGGAAGAGAAAGGGGAACAGGGGTGGGGGAGAAGAGAGGAGAGAGCTGAGGAGGCCCATCTGGGAGTGGATGGATCAGGAAAGGCTTCCTGGAGGAGGTGGGACTTGAAATAGCCCTTGGAAGATGAATAAAATTATTTGCCCTCCATAGACTGGGGAAGTGGTAAGTAGGAGAGAGAGTAGTGCACTTCCATTCACTCTTCCTTGAAAGTCTGAAAGCGAAGGGCTGGAGGTGGGAAAGGCAGCCCACCTCCTGCAGGAGCTGAGTAACATGGGTTTTAGCATGAGGCAGGGGCTTGGGAGCAGCCCTATGGGATGAGGTTAAGGGGTGGGGGCTCTACTGGCATATATGAGACCTTCAAACCATTTGGTGGACAATTTGAAACCTCTAGGTTTTTAAATTTTTATTTAATTTTGCTGTTAATTAGCAAGTGACATGTTGATTTTTCCCTGCTATAGAATACATTCTTTGCTGTAATATAATATATGTTTCCAATGTTGGTTCAAATATAATATGCAAAAAGCCCAGGTCATACTGACATTTCATTCCCATAAAACAAGTTGATTAGAGAGATATCCATCATGTATCCACTGTCATGATGATGGGCTTAGGAGAGAACACCTTCCCAAGAAATTCTTGTCTGGTGACTTTTTATATCTAAGAAAGGAAACAGTGCTAAGAGCTGACATTTATTGTGCACATGTGTGCTAAGTACTGTGTGGACACTTTATGTGTATTTTTTCTGGTTTGATTCTAAAACATTGGAAGTGTATAGAATACATCAACCAGAAATGTGTTCTTAAGGGGGGGGGGGATCAACCTAATGTCATTTGCTAATCAACAAAATAAGAAAATTTAAGCACTTGAGGGTTTCAAATTTCTTACCAAATGAAGTACAAGGGGCTTAGGCACTCATGACCTTGCAGGCCCAGTTCCAGTGAGTAAAATTGAGGCACAGAGAGGCTAAGTACCTTGCCTTAAGCCACACAGCTAGGGAGGGGTAAGCTGGATTCAAAGCTGACACAGCCACCACCATGAGTTTGACCATTCTGTCTGATCCTCGTTATTAAAAATGCACCTCTGGAAAAGGGCTACCATAACTGCATGGCTTGCTGAAGCTTCACAAACTGAACCGACCCATATGAACTACAAACTAGTTAACAGACAGAACATGAGAACCCCCTGGAGGTCCCCCATAACTTGTCCAGTCACAAGCTTCTCCCCTCCCTGCCCCGCGAGCCACTATTTTGACCCCTAAAAGTCTCTATTAGTTTTGCCCTCGGGATTGCGTTTTCATGTCCATCTCCAAAGGACGTGAGTGTTCGTTTCAGTGGTAAGGACTCCAGCCTGTGCACCTAGATGGAAATAATAGCAATAATGGTGACGCTAGTCTTCATAAAATTGGAAGAGACCATGAAAGATCTTCTAGTTCTTTCTCTAGGCTTTGGGAGGTAAACTGTGTGTGCCCAGGGGCAGATCACCATCTATCCTCTTCTCAAACGTCTTTTCACAGGTGGCTGCTGTGAAAATAAGTATCACTGAGATACTTCAGGAGTGGAGGCTCTGTTCTGGGGCTGCAGGAAGAAATAGGGAGGAATGACTTCGGGTTAATCCAGCCCTGGGTTTGTGTATTCAACCAGTATCTATTAATCACCTTGGTGGGCCAGGAAGTGGGGGTGACCAGCATAGGCACATCTCTACCCCTGAGGGGATTCAGGTCTCCAAGTGGCTATGAATCCTACTCTGTCATCTACTGACCATGCACTTGACCTTGTGTCAGAGTCAAGACTTGACCTCTCTGCTCTGATGTGAAGATCATGATATGTTTCTTATGGAGTTGCTGTGATGCTTAAGGCCTGTAAAGCATTCAGCACATATTAGGTGCTCAATAAAAGCGACATATGCTATTGAGATGCAGTGGGTAGAGTGGGCAGGCTTTGGTTCCAGGGTTAGTCCTAATTCCAGCCATGTGACCCTGGGTGAGTCTCTTTATCTCATTGAACCTCAGTTTTCTCAACTGGAAATTAGGGATCACGCAGCCCTCCCCAGATAGGATTGGGAGTTTTAAATGAGATGGGATGATATAAGGAGTTAGGCCCATTGGCACATGGCATGCACTTGCCAAGTAATGACTGTGGAAATTTGGAATGGTCCAACAAAATCCTGGAGGCAGGAAGACTCAGCTGGGGGTTGGTGTGGCCACACACACTGGTCTTTGGTCACATGCTACATAGACCCTACTTCACGGCCACCATGGTCTCCCCCTGACTCAGCCTGTGCTTCGCTGGTCACTCTCTGAGGGTCACCACCTAAAAGCACTGGCTAAGGTGCTTTCCCTAAAATGCTGGATTAAGTTCACTTGAAATGTAAACACCCATCCCAGGCTAGCTGTCAGCAGGAGGCCCATTTCCTATAAACAACCAGCCTCAGAGCACGCATGGAGGGCTCAGGGGCCACAGGAAAACATGTCTCTGGAATTACTCAAGGCTGACACTCAACTCTGAGGCTGAGATTAAAGAAGGCCACCACACATTCCCCAGAACCCTGCTCCCTGGTGAGCCCCAATTAGCCACATTCCTTCTAAAGGGACACAAGTAAACAGATGTGCTCCTGCCTGGAATCTTCTAGAATTGGGTCAAGTTTGATATTCTGGGGGGACTGAGAGATTATATATATATATATATATATATATAATCTACCTCCATTTTAAGCAAACTTCCAAAAGGCTAGTTTAAAGCTATAATAATTGAAAAAGCTCCAGAAAAGGCTAAATTCTGGAGAGCTCTTTTTGTCTCTAAACCTTGGTGATGCTGGCTCTTGGAATTCACATGTTGAAATCCTCGTGGGACAATGACCTTGCCTCTAAATAAAAAATTATCGAAATGTACTGTTGAGGGAGACTTGAGTTTATTCATCTCTATGCCTGCTTTATAAAAATTTTTAATTTTGAAATAATTTTAAGGGCGCCTCGGTGGCTCATTTGGTTAAGTGTCTGACACTTGAACTCAGCTCAGGTCTTGATCTCAGGGTGATGAGTTCAAGCCCTGTGCTGGGCGTGAAGCCTACTTTAAAAAAAAAAACCACACACAAATTATTTTAGACTTACAAAAAAGAGCACTCCTATATACCCTTTGTCCGGCTTCTCCTCCGCTCCGCTCCTTTAGTTAAATCTTAGGTTTTTAAAACATTAACTTTCACTGGTTTCTGCTGAAGGCCACAGACCATTTTTCTATCTTTCTGCTTTCTTATTCCAGTCTTTTCTTACTGGTTTGGCACTGATTCAGGTTTTCCATGCTGGCTGTACACTCATCACCTGGTGCTCTGAAACAGTGGCAGAAGCCTGAGCCCCACCTCCACAGTGCGCTGATGAACTTGGTCTTGGGTGGGACAGGGCAGAGAGACTGGAGGTTCACTGCAGAAGTCTTCTTTTTTTTTTTTTATTAACACATAATGTATTATTTGTTTCAGGGGTACAGGTCTGTGATTCATCAGTCTTACACAATTCACAGCGTCCACCATAGCACATACCCTCCCCAATGTCCATCACCCAGCCACCCCATCCCTCCCACCCCCCCACTCCAGCAACCCTCAGTTTGTTTCCTGAGATTAAGAGTCTCTTATGGTTTGTCTCCCTCTCTGGTTTCATCTTGTTTCATTTTTCCCTCTCTTCCCCTATGATCCTGTCTTGTTTCTCAAATTCCTCATATCAGTGAGATCATATGATAATTGTCTTTCTCTGAGTGACTTATCTCGCTTAGCATAATACCCTCTAGTTCAATCAACGTCATTGCAAATGGCAAGATTTCATTTTTTGATGGCTGCATGATATTCCTGTGTGTGTGTGTGTGTGTGTGTGTGTGTGTGTGTGTGTGTGTACACCACATCTTCTTTATCCATTCATCTGTTGATGCATATCTAGGCTCTTTCCACAGTTTGGCTGTTGTGGACATTACTGCTATAAACATTGGGGCGCACATACCCCTTTGGATCACTACATTTGTATCTTTGGGGTAAATACCCAGTTGTGCAAGTGCTGGGTTGTAGGGTAGCTCTATTTTCAATTCTTTGAGGAACCTCCATAGTGTTTTCCAGAGCGGCTGCACCAGCTCACTGCAGAGGTTTTCTGAAACCTCAGTGTGCTCAGGGCCATCTAGGAAATGTGTTAGAAACACCGATGCCCTGACCGTACCCTTCAGGATTATGATTCACTCAGCCCTGGGTGGGGTCTCAGGGTTTAGAGCTTTAATCCTAGGGGATTCTGATGTTAAGAGGTACACAAACCACCTTTTGAGAAATATTGGCTTTGTGTTATCTGTAAATCAGAGGACCCTGCTCACCCTGTGCATGTCCTCTTGAATCATGTATAGTAGTACTTAACATTTTTGGTTTATGTTCCTACTCTTGGGGAGTAGAATGGGGAGCCATTGAGAGTTGTAGAGGAGAGATGAGGCCAGGCTGTGCCGCACTAATGTTGGCAATCTGACAGCCGCGAGAGGATTGGGCTGGAGAGATGAGGGGGGAGGGTAGCCAGCAAGAGGGGGAAGCAGAGCAGAACAGCGTAAGTCTTCGGTCATGAGATTCTAGATTTAGAGAGCATTGGGTTTATATCTGACATCCACCACTTCCTAGCTGTGTGCCTTTGGGCAAGTTACTTAGCCTCTCTGGGCATCAGGCTCATCTGTAAAATCAAGAGGTACCTTCCTCAGAAGCTGTAGTGAGGGCTGAGTTGTGGGTGGGCACAAAGCACTTGAGCCAGTGGCCAGCAAGCACTCCCTGTAGTGAGTGTTGAAGAGATCGACTGGGAACGTATTGCTTCCTTCTCCCAAAACAACCTTTACCTCGTTCATGCCATTTGGGCTCCATAAAGAGTTTCCTAGTGCCCCTCTGGGCCAGGCCCAGTGCCAGGTAATGAAGACACAACAATTTGAACAGAAACCCTGTGTTCTGGGGCCTCCCACCCTAGGCTGGAGAATGGCAAGCTGATCATTGCAAAGCAGAGTAGGGCATGTACCTTCAACACAGGCCAGGTTCAAGAGCAGGATGGGGGAGGACGAGTAATTGAGTGGACTCTCTGTACTTCCCATTTTCCAGCCAGTTCCAGATTATGCATAGAATCAAGTCTTTCATGCTATTGCATATTTTTTTTAATTTTCCTATATATTATGTTTTGATATCTTAAAAAACCGTTTTGGTTGGAGGAGACTGTCCTTCCCTGGACTAGCCAATTTTTAGAGGTAGCAAAGGGCCCAGCATATCTGTGAGATGAAAACTAACCTATCCAGAGCCAGATCTCCTCTCTCTGGTCCACGCACTCCAGGAAGCAATATTCCTCTGCCTTCATCACCCCAGGGCCAGGTGCCAGGCAACCAGAGACCACCCCCGAAGTCCAAAGCCTGCCAGCACTACTCACACCAGCTGATCCTAAGCTGTTTACTCTGCTCCATCTTGTCTTTCCCTCAGAAACCCCAGGACAGGCCATGGCCTATGTGCTTCCCCTGCTCCTGTGTTCTGCCTCTGGACCACCCTGTTGCCATCCACTGTGGACCGGTGTGACATGCCGTGCCTCCTAGGACCTGTGAGTATAAAAGGCTTTGCTCCCAAGCCTCTCTCTGTCTCCTTTCATGGTCACACCTAACTGACCATCCCATAAAAGACAATAAAACAGGTACTTACCTTTGACAATGAATTTTTAGTTTGAAAAATCTACTAGAAACTTTTAGAAAGTTTAGCCCACTCAAGGATTTTGGTGGATGGCAGCCATGCTTCTGAAAGACAGCCATGGATTGGTCATCCCCTACTGGTTCTCTGGTCCCCAGAGCCTCTATGGAAGGATGTGGAAACCACCATTCAGTAAGCTGTGAGGGCTCACTTAAGCTACCTGCCATTTCTCAGGGGGATGTGTGGCGGTGGGAGGAGGAGAGCAGGGATGGTTGCAAACTTGAACCCTAGACAAAACAAGTCAGATCCTAGCCCTACCTCAGTGACCTTGCTCGGATAAGTCACTCAACCTCTCTAAAGCTCCCATTTCTGTGTCTGCAAAGAGGGGACAAAGCACACCTCCCACGCAGTGCTAATGTGAGCACCTGAAATGGACCACAAGGGACCTGACAGCATGGCAAAGCAGGGCCTTCTGGAAAGGAAGCCAGTGTACTTTTACCTTTCATGCACGTCATCCAGAACAGCGTTGATTTCCCTAGGAATCATTGGTAACTTCTATCAGGAGAGGAGGGGACTGTTAAGGCTGAGAGCTGTCGGCAAATATGGAACCACCCACTCTGTAGCTGAGTCTCAGTAAAATCTGTTAAGTTTTTGCAAACTCAGAGCTCATGGTTTTCACACATGGGGTCTCTATTCATGAAATCTTAGAGCAAGCCACTGGCACCAAAAAAATAATTGCTGACTGGCTTAGATGAAATAGTAATTAAGCAAAAATAACACTAATGGTTATTGAGCACGTGTTCTGTGCCAGGTATTATACAAAGCTCCTTACACATATTAATGCCTTTAAATTCCTTAAATTCCACATTCCTGATATCTCCATTTTACAGATGGGGAGAGAGAGAAAGGGTCAGTAACTTGGCCAAGGTCACACAGCTTGGGTGCATGTTAGCTAGGATGAAGAAGGATCCAAACCCAGTGACAGTGATGGTGGTTTTCAATCTATTCTGCGCCTACCAGGTGTCAGGCCCCTGCTAGATACCTGGCCCTTCTAATGATCATGACAGCTCTCCAGAGGAGATCATCAAGCTCTTTTTACTGCGGTGGACACAGAGGCCAAGGGAGGTGAAGTGATCTGTTTGTCATGCTGGAATGCAGGGGTTAAAGAAAAATGTCACCAAGCTGAAGCATTAGGACACGAACTTCCCCAGCATGTGACTCTGAGCCTGCTAAAGCCTCATGTGACCCATCCCAGACCTCTTTAAGAACTCAGAGTGTGCTGTTGTGACATACAGCAGCTTCATGGCCAACAGCAAAGAGTTTACCATCCACCTCGTGAGCCAGTCACCTGAACCCAGAATTCTGCCTTATTCAGCCATTTCAGTCTCCCCTTTGGGAGAGCCACTGAACTTGTTGCTTGAGTGACTGGTCTCCCTTGCCTGGTGAGCAATCTACTCAGCTCTGTTCCTTTCAGCTCTGTTCTCTTCCTATTCTGATTTGAGGCATGTCTGACTCCAAAGCCAGTAATCTCCTCCTGCTCTCACCCATCTTAACGAGAATGCATATCATTTTGCAGGTTGGGCTCTCTGAAAGAGAAACTTGGCCGCCTTTCCAGGGAGGTTTGCGCTTGTGGTTGGCTGAATGATGGACTCTCCAAGATGTCCATGTTCTAATCCCTGAAACCTATGAAGTTGTTACCTTATAGGGCAATGCAGGCATGATTATATTAAAGGTTTTGAGAAGGGAGATGATCCTGGATTATCTGGGTGGGCCCAATGCCATCACAAAGGTCCTTATAAGAGGCAGACAGGAAGGTCAGAGAAGGAACTGACTATGGAAATGAGGGAGGTGGGGAGAGTGAGGGAGAGAGCAGGTGTGCAAGATGCTCTGCTGCTCTTTGCAGGTGCAGCTGGGGCCACAAGCTAAGGAATGCAGGCAGCATCTAGAAGCTGGAAAAGGCAAGGAAATGGGCTATCTCCCTGGAGCCTCCAACACCTTGATTTTAGCCCAGTTTTGACTTCTGACTTCCATAACTGTAAGAATAAATGAGTGCTGTTTTAAGCTACTAAATTTGTGGTTGTCTTTACAGCAGCAATGGCAAACCAACACAGTACTCTTACCATCTCTAATTGTGAAGCTGTGGAGCAAGGCCAGGCCATCAAACCAGTCTCCCCCACTGTGTGCATTCCAGGCCCGTTGCAGAGCAGGGTGCCCTGCAGCCATGTGGGAATCCTGCCTGTTAAGAGAAAGAATGTTTTGTTTCCAGTTTTCACATCCCAACCAAAAAGCTATGAGACGTGGCCATGGAAAGGAATTGAGGTCACAGTCCCAACACGACTCACTGCACCCACTCATTCCTTCAGCAGTCGTTTCCAGAAAGGGTAGGATATGCCTGGATTGTGCCAGCACTGAGGATACCGAGATGAACTGACGTCATCCCTGTCCTCAAGTTGCTCACCACCCACGGAGCAGATGGATGAACAGACACCCAAACCACACCACAATGAAGGAAGGCAATGTGACAGGCTCAGCAAGGAGGCTGTGTAGAATAGAACCTCACCTCCAGGTGGGGTGAGAGCAGGAGGGTTGGGCTTGCTTCCTGGAGGAGCCACTGGCTGAGTCTTGAAGGGGAGTAGGTAGTGGCCTCCCAAAGGTGGGGAAAGAACATTCTAGAACTGTGCTGCCCAATATGGTAGCCGCCGGTCTCATGTGGCCACTGAGGACTTGAAACCTGGCCAGTCTGAACAGAGATGTGCTGTAAAGTGTAAAATACACACTGAATTTCAAAGGCTAAATATAAAAAAAATGTAAAATATCTCAATAGCAATTTAAAAAATATTGATTACATGTTGAACGTATAATATTTTGGATATGTTGCCTTAAAAATATACAGTTAAAATTGACCTTTTTTTTTTCCTTTTTCAGTGTGGCTATTAGGAAATTTAAAACTATGCATGTGGCATCATTCTATCTCTGTTGAACAGCACAGCTCTGGAGGTAGGGTGCTGGAACAGACGCCGTTGGTGCCCCACACTTGTCCTCTTGGCACTGACCTCTCCCTGAAGGCTGCTTTCTGCCACTACCTGCAGCTCTCTGCCTGAGGGCTTTGTTTTCACTGAGGGAGATGATCTGCCCACACACTGGGCAAGCTGGAACACCTTGGAGTTAATGCCCCTGGAAGTGGTTGTCACCCAAAGATGGATGGGGAGTTGGGCATCACTTGTCACACCACTTCTTTGCCCTCAGCTGGGACAATATGAGGCATGTTTTACACTATGCCCAGAGGGCTCAGCTCTGAGGGCTCACAGTGGTCAGTGGCTTGACAATGCCCTTTTATTGGTTTCCCTCCCAGTGTTTCTTGGGATCACATCCCAAATTAAAATACTTACATCTGAATTCTTATCTCTGGGGGAACCTGAACGAAGAGATCAAAGACCAGGTCAAAGACCAGGAGATGTGCCAGTTGTATAGCAAGACTGGTCTGCAATTTTCAAGCGAGGAAGCCCAAGTATTGAGGCTGGAGAGCTAAGCAGGGACCATGTGATAAAGGTCAATGAGACCACACCAAGGGCTTTTACTAGACACTCAGAAGAATGGGACAGCTTGGCCAGTTAAAAGAGGGAATGAGAGGATCTGATTTTCGTGCGTGTGCAATTTTTTTCTTGAGATAAAATTCACATAACAACAACAACAACAAAAAATCCACCATTTTAAGGTGTACAATTCAGGGGTTTTTAATATAGTCACAATGTTATGCAATCATCATCGTCTAGTTCCAGAACATTCCATCACCCCAAAACAAAGTCCTGTCCTCCTGACAACCACTCATCTGCCTCTTCTGGACAGCTCATATGAATGGAATGTGCTCAGATTTGGGGTTTTAAAAGTTGTCTCTGTGGTGTAGAGTGTGGTGGGAGGAGGAGCCAAGAAGAGGTGGGACGACCAGAGAAAGGAAGAGAGAAACAACAGACAGAGAGTTGGAGGACGTGGAATGGACAGGACCTGGAGTCTGAGCCGTAGGGGGAGAGGGGAGGGAGCACCCCAAAGTGCCACCAAGTCTCCTGCCTTGGGCAGCTAAGTGAGCAGTGGGGCTATTCACAGAGACCCAGATGCAAGAGAAGGAGCAGGTGAGGCAGAGCAGAGAGAGATGAATCTGAGCACAGTCAAAGCTCTAGACAGAAGGACACATATTGAGCACCATGTGCCAGGCACTGGGGGGCAGGTGGCATTAAATCATATAGTCATGGCAGCAACCCCATGTGGTAGGTACACGCGGACCGTTTGACATAAGAGGGAACTGAGGCAGGAAATGCTTAAGTAACTGGCCAAGGAGGTCTCAGAGCTAACAATGCACATCCCGACATGAAGCCTGGACATGGCCTCTGTGGGCAGACATGGCCACATAGGCACAATCTTCAGTTAGCAGTTAGCCAATGATTAGACTTGACCCAGGACTGGAGGCCTGGAGTGAGGGTTGGGAGCCTGTCCTTCACTGGCCGCCCTGGCCTTGGGCAAGTTGCAGCCCCTCTCCAGCCCTTGGCTTCCCTCAAGGAGGGAGGCATGATTTACAGCAGTGGTTCTCACACTTGGAAGCCACCAGAGGGCTTGTAGAAACACAGATTGCTGGGCTCCAACCCCAGCATATCTGATTCCATGGGTCTGGAGTGGGCCCAGGAATTTGTGATTCTAACAAGCGCCCAGGTGATGGGGAGGCTGCAGGTGTAGGGTAGAGGTGGGGAGAACAGCTGATCTGGATCCAGGGGTCCACTCAGATCTGTAGGTTCTAGGATTCCGGCTTTCTAAAATTTCCAAGGATTTCCATGCAGTCATTAAACATAAGGCTTATGGGCAACATGTTCATGGCACCCCCGAACATAAAAAGATAGCTATTGGGGGCTCTCTTTTTTAAAATAAAAAATTAGGGGCGCCTGGGTGGCTCAGTCGTTAAGCGTCTGCCTTCGGCTCAGGTCATGATCCCGGGGTCCTGGGATCGAGCCCCGCGTCGAGCCCTGCGTCGAACCGCGTGTCGGGCTCCCTGCTCTGCGGGAAGCCTGCTTCTCCCTCTCCCACTCCCCCTGCTTGTGTTCCCTCTCTCACTATGTCTCTGTCAAATAAATAAATAAAATCTTAAAAAAAATAAAATAAAAAATTAATAGTAAATATACATTTGTTTTTGAAAAAAATATTTGTAGTCTATACAATCTCTATCTTTTAAAAACTTAAAATACTCCAATATTAGGAGTGCTTGAGATGAAAATACAGCTGATTTCCCTCTCTGTGTTCCCATTAGCACTTCCAAGTTTTTATATATGTACGTATACATAAAACACACACACATATAGATCCTATGTTACCTTCGTAATTAGAGAAAAACAAACATAAAAGCTACTCTTTGAAAAGCCTTCCAAGGCAACTCCTTGGTTGAAAAGCTCCAATCTGACTTTCCTCACAGAGAAATGCTCACTCGGGAAAAACCTCCAGATCCGAGTATCTGAAGATGAAACCACCTATGTGCCTGAGCCAGCTCACTCGCCCTTCTCAGGGACAGCACAGAAAGGGAGAGCCAGAGAAATAACAGATGAAGAAAACGAGACACAAAGCCCGATAAAGGAATTCTCCCTTGGAGGGTCCCACTCTGGGTCTGTTGGACTTATGGCTCTGCAGGTACTCGAGGGCCCAGATCACACCGTGGGCTCCTGCGAGGAAATCAAGACATGCTCTGCATGCCCTCCAGCTTGCACACGCAAAAGTGGGAGCCCACGTGCATGTCTCATGCCATTTTGCAACTAACTTAGGTTGCACATATTTGCACAAAGGTACCACCTGCTTGGAATGGGCCACATTTTGCCGAATAATTCCATTGTATCCGTGCCAGTCATAGTCTCCCCAGGCTCTTCCCCTGAAGTAGTGAGAATGACTCTCTCTCTCCCTGGAAACAGTTTCGGTGCATAAAAAGCACACCTAGATTTTCACAGAGAATACGTCTGGATTGTGGATCATTCCCCACTATATACTGTTTTCCAGATTTTCCAAAAATAATTTACAATAAATATTACTTTCATCAACAGAAAAAAAGTGTATGTCTAAACACATAAGAAGAGCCCGCCGTCTTTACGAAACGCTCACCTGTCACTTTGGCCCTCACAGGTTCCAGCTGCTCCTTCTTATTTCTGCCAAATATGATATCCATGGCGCTGAGCGGGAGTGATGTTGACACTCTGACACACAGACACTCTGCTCTGTTCAAGGCAACTGCTTGCTCTTCGGCTCCTCCTTTTCTTTCCTTTCCGCTCTCCTGCAGCTCCCTTCTCTTACATCTCCTTCCCTACGGATGCCCTGAGAGCCTGGTATCTATTCACACGCCAGGGGGAAGCTGCGCTGGCGTTATTTATCTGTGGTCAAAGGTCAATTCCGCAGCCTGAGTCCTGTCTAATCTTTAACCCTCTTATTGTATCCCCAAATCCCTTTCCAGTTCCACTCTGGCTTAAGCAAGGAAAGCTAGTCTTCTGCTGGGTTTAAATTGGCGGGATAATTCAGTGGGTGCATTCTGCGTAGGTATGCAGCCTGAAATAATCCAGCCCAGGAGGTGGAGAGGATTTATGATCCGAACAAGAAGAGAAACTATCAGGACCTGGGATTAGGGGAGCCAAGAGTGCGTCAATCGCTAGAATTCCCTCTGCACACGGTGGGAACTTCTTCAGCAGAGGGAGCGTTTTTGTTTTGTTTTGAATAAAGGTCCCTGAACCTCCCCCTCCTTAAAAAATTGTATTCAAAGAGCAACTTAATTTATTATATCTCTTTTTTAGAGAAGTAAACATAAAATGTTTACCCATTTAAACCATAAATATAGGGAACCAAAAACTCTACTTGAGAACAATGAGGAATTGTAACAAAACAAAAAAACAAATGTCAGTTCGACTTCCTGATCTAACAGGAACTAGAAAGGATGCCTATTTGTGATTTCAGAGTCCCCTGTATTTGTGCCTCTTGGTGTGATGCCATTGCCTAAAATCCATATTCAAGTGGCTTTGAATGTTGATGAGTTAGTGGACTCTTCTCTACTCCTCTTGCTTAAAGAAAGCAGCAGCTGTTTCCTCTCTGGGCAGAGGAAGACAGGGTGTGGTGCTGGTCTTTACGTAGCTGCTGAGTACAGTTCTTGTCAGGTCTGGGCTGAGACCGCATTCCTGGATCCAGGGGCCCAGTCGGGACAGCCGCCTGGTCTGGCTGCACGCCCACCCCTGGCTACACACTCCGATCACCTGGCTGCATGCGCTCAGGGTCCGGCGCTGAGCCTCACTACACACCCACTGATGCAGGATCTCTCAAGGGGGAGCCCAGCCCTGGGTGGTCTTAAACATGTCTTGGGTGATTCTGATTCTTGGTAGCTGTTGAGGAGCCCTGGTCCAGGGGAAGATGCTGCGTGTTTGGGTTGATACTAGATTCAGATTCTTCCCTTTTCTATGCGTCTGCCTTATCCTCTCTAAGCTTCCATTTCCTTAACCGTAAAATGGGGGTGTAATGATATCAAAGTCCCAAAGTATTGTAAATCAAGGGTCTAGCAAAAGCACCTGGGCCCAAACACTACCAACTATTATTGCCTTTTCTTCCCCATTTGCTCAGAAGGCATTCCCTTTAACCCACATTTTCCATTCAGTCCTGTAACTTGCCAGTTTATTCTTCTGTCTGGTCTAAACATGTGTATCCATGTCAGGGTTATTATTCCTAGGTTGTGAAAGGTGTGTCTTTGTGGGGGTTAAATGAGAATGTCTGGCATAAACTATGGGCTCAGGAAAAAAATTGCACCACCAGAGGCAGCAGCTCTGGTGCAGGGAAAAAAAAAAAAGAGCTACAGGCTTAGAAGTCAGAAGATCTACTGGCATTTCCGGGCTGCGATTTAAAAAGTGTGACTGTTGTGACAACCCCTCTGAACCTCACTTTACTCTGCGAGAGAGGGTGGCAATACCTGGGCCACATGGTTTGTGGGGAGGACAATATTGAAATTACAGAAGTGAAAACATGACCGTGTCTTTCTTGTGCATTTTGTATATCCAGCAAAGCAATGGCCCCCATCCATATCAAGCACCTTCTCTGAGTCAAGTGCTTTGCAAAGTATTCTACGTGCACTAGCTTGCTCTGACTTTATATAATCCTATGAGATGAGTATTCTTAGCATCATTCTAGAGATGTAAAAAGTCAGGAAAGATAACCAACTTGCCTTAGGTCACACAGCGACTAGGAGACAATTAGGAAGCCAAGCTGGGCAGCCTGACTCCAAAGTATACACTCCGTGACAATTCTACTCAGTGCCGATGCATGATGGATGTTGGCTAGATTTTTGTGGAATGAAGTAATGGGTAGATGTGTCGATGGGTGGAGGATGTAAGAGGGCCAGTCTTGGGTTGACATCATTGCCCTGTTATATAAAACTGAGAAACCAAGGCCAGCTTTCTTTATTCAGGCCCCAACCGTACCCCAGGGACAATTATATGTTGAGGTTAGGATTTTTGATAATGGGGATAATAAATTGATCATAACCATGGCTATCTGTATTAGTGTTCTAGGGCTACCATAACAAAGTACCACTTGGTGGCTTAAATAGCACAAGTTTGCTTTCTTACACTTCTGGAGGCTGGAAGCCCAAAATCAAAGTGTTGGCAGGGCTGGCTTTTTCTGAGGCCTCTCTCCCTGGTGTAGATGGCCATCTTTCTCACCATGTCCTTACATGGTCATTCCTCTGGGCATATGCATCCCTGGCTGTGTGTCCAAATTTCCTCTTTTTATAAGGACACCAGTCAGGGTGGATTAGGGCCCACCCTAATGGACTCATTTTAATTTAATCACCTCTTTAAAGACTCTATCTCCAAACACAGTTACATTCCAAGGTGCTCCAAAATGTGAATCTTAGGGTGGGGAAGAGGAAGACACAGTTCAGCCCATAATGATATCATGAAGGTTCAAAGAGTTAAGGGAAGATGCTTTGGCTGGAAGTAACAGAGTATCTGCAGAAACCCTGAGGATGTGACTTTGTCTCAGACAGCAAGTCATCTGGGGATCCTGGGTGGCCCAGAAGCTCATCCGGACCATCTCACCAGCCACCACAATGCCATCCTCAGGGGGATGGCTTCTCATCCTTGGGCTTGCTCAGTTTTGCTTATGAGTGATTGCCTTCAACCCAGGAATCATGTCCTTCCATAATAACGTGCTAAAGCAGAGACACATAGTGGGGGGGGGGAAGGAGGCATTTCCTTCTTATAGCTCCCTCTCTTTATGCCAAGGAAAACCTTTCCCAGAATCCCCTGAGCAGATTTTTCTCTTACTCTCATTGGTTAAATGGTGTCCCATGACCCCCCCTCAGACCAATTCCTGGCAAGGAGGAGTAGCTGTGCCCTGACTTTCTTAAACCCATCAGGAGTCTTCTTGGGCAGCATGTTGCCTCCAGACTCACACTGGGAATCCATTGGCAAGGAACAAGGAGGGAATGGCTTGCAAGAGGCAACCTGCAGTGTTGGCTACAGGCAGTGCAGCATTCATTCACCCCCACATTCATTTATTCATTCAACATATATTTATTAAGCACCTACTATGTGCTGGAAATACAGCAGTGAACTAAGCAGAAAAATAATTCTGTGCCTTCTTTCAACGCACACTGACTAGTTGCCAAGCTTTGGAGTTATAGAGGTGGTTAATGAGACTCAGTTCTGCCTTCTTCGCTCCCATTATGTTCTTTTTGTTGGGAGGCAGTGTCTTCATATCCCCAAGGACACACATTTCCCAAAGGGGTTAGGGTTCCTGCAGTGGTTCACGGGACAGCCTTCATGTTGAACGTTTATCTTCCCTCTTCGTAAACAGAGATAACAAGCAGCAGCTGCTCCTTCTCAAGAAGCTCTGGCATTGCTCTGGCCCCTTGAAAGCCTGACCCCTGCTTTCTAGGTCTTTGTTAATAAGGGAAGGGTGGGACGAGAGCCTTGTCACCAGTAGGAACTGTCTCCTGGCCTGTTCTCCAGCCTCTCACGAATGCCATTCACTGGATGCTTGACACGTGCCAAGTACCATGCTAGCTGTCTGATGAGCACCATGTTATTTAATTCCTACACAGTCCTGCAAGGGAGTCATAAGCAACCTTATTTTTACAGCCTCAGAGATGGGAAGGAACTTGATTCAGGTCTACAGCTTGTCAGTGCATATTCCTCCCCACTACACAGTAACGCTTACCACATGTTGAAGTCTTTGGTTGAGGAACAGAGGTAGATAGGAGAGCAAAGGTGGGTGTTCCAAAGACAGTTTTTAAAATGCATCTGCTGCCTTCAAGTGGACTGAAAACTGGCCAGTGCATAAGAGAGCAAGGCAACGGGAACATGAAGGGAAGTAGCTCATCTTAAACAAGAGGTTTGGTCATTCACTACCGTGAAACAAACCACTCCGAAACTTAGCAGCTTAAAGCAACTGTCATTGTTCTTACCTCTCGGGGCTCAGTTCTGTGGGCTGATTAGGCTCTGCTGGGAGTGTTTCTGCTTTCATCACGCGGGGTTCCTTATGTGGTTGCAAGTCAGCTGGCAGTTGACTGGCATGCTGGGAGGGCTGGGTCTGGGCTTCTCTCTCTCTCCATGTGGTCTCAGGGCCTGTCCTTGACCCTCTCCATGGGATCTCTCTGGCAGGATAGCTGTACTCCTTCGAGGGCGGCAAAAGCCTCCCAAAAGTATTTCAAGAGAGAGGAAGCAGAAGCTGCCAGCCTCCTGTAAGGGTGAACCCAGGACTGGCATAGTTTCAATTCACTGCCTTCTACTGGTTAGCACAAATCCCAGAACCAGCCCACATGCAGTGGGGAAGGAGACTAAGCAAGGGTGTGAACATGGTGTCTGGGTGGTGTGGCCTCTTGTTGGGCCATCTTTGGCCCTGGCAACGCCAATGGACCCATGTGCATTGGAGCCACAGCTCTTCTGCTTACTAGCTGAGCGCCTATGCTGCTTGCTTAAATCTCAGACCCTCCGCTGCCTGATCTTCTGATCTTGAAAAGAGGAATTATAATACCTGTCCTACCAGGTGGCTGTAAAGTTTAAATTAAACTATAAAAACTCTGATCATGCCCATGGTGGGGCTTAGAATAAAGTGGGAGCTTGTAGCGTGTTCCTTTCCTTTTCTTGGGCAAGAGAGAAAAATTGGAAAGGTCAGCCAACATGATAATCAGAAATATTAATTTTTTGACCAGTTACAATGCATACATCTCTGGCCTGTCCCTGAAAGGAAAAGAGACACCCATGACCTAGTCTAGGATTTTAAGTTTGCTCTAGTCTGGCTGTGAGGACATGTACACGGTAAGTAATAACTAGTTGTCTATTACAGTGGCTCTAGAAAAGGCAGAGATAGGAAGTGTTGTGGGAGTTCCGAGGGAGGAAAGTTTGCTTAGGTTAGGGAAGGTTGGGACAGAGAGCTTCCTGGAGGAGGAGGTGCACAGCTGAGCCCTTGAGAGTGGGAAGTGTTTGGATAGGCAAAGAGGAGGACCGGTGTGAATGATGGCACGGAGCTGGACAGCTCTGGTGGGGAGAGCGAGGACAAGCCTCTCTGCCAGGGACAGAGAGAAACGATGATATTTACAGGGGCCATTATTGAGAGCTTCCTGTGGGCCCGGCATTCTTCTAAGCCTTTGGCACATAAGAATGCATGTCCTCCTCACAGGAACCCTAAGGAGGTATTCAACCCCATTTTATAGATAATGAAAGTGACACACGGAGGAGTTAAGTAACTTGCCAGCACCCTGGAGCTGGGCTTCGAACCCAAGCAGCTCGACTCCAGAGGCCATACTTGCAATCACTGTTCGCCTCCACGATCACTGAGATGGGGGTGGAAAGTGGTTTA